TAATACCAAACGTGTACTGTGGCTACTTTACCATCAGAATACCAAAACTTTGTCAGACTGATGATGCAGCAGCGTTACATATTCAGTGTCTGAACAAGACTTAAGTTTTACATTCAGCTGGTGTCTCTGCATTTGAACACAACCTTGACTTGTTCATGTTTTGCATGATGGTAAATCTTTTCCTCTCCTCTTTAATTCTCAGATAGACAATAAATATATTATTGTGAGGGATTAATAGACACAGAGATGGATTGCAGTGGATAGTTTCTCCCTGTGACATTAATTAGATTATAAACACTATCCAAAATGATTTAATATCCTCTGTAGGTTCACGTGAACATTAAGAATATTTACATGACAAATGCTTTCAACTTTAAAAACTTTCTAATTTCATCAGATTTCGTGTAAACTTGTCAAGACTTACAAGTAATTTGATGGTATCATATTGACCATCAATAACACGACACTGACAAGCCCACAGTGCTTTGCAAAATCTCTTATTTTATTTTGCCATTTTTGCCATACTTTCATGAAGGAAGTGGACTCAGCTGAAGGAAACAGGGTCCTGCGATGCTCCCGTATCGTCCGTGGACACTGAGTCCAGCTGACACAGCACCTGTCAGTGGGAAGGAAAGGACATATTTTACTGGAGTGACACCAGAGGGATGTTGGCTGTGCAATCTGGCGCTGCATATCATCGTTAAAACTTGGCACGGCTTGTGATCGCGGCACTATCCCTCATGAAACTCCGAGGCGCGCGAGGCATCTGTTATACTCAGCGTTTTTTATTCTTTATTTTGATCCCCATCTGCTGACATGTGTGCTAGCCCATCGTTTAAACAAACTCTCAGCAACCCTCCATCTACTTCTGTCACGTCATGAACCCGAAAAACTCAAGGATCCAAAGACACATCTTGTTTTTTTTCCCATTCGCACTGAGCTGACTTAAGCTGAAACACTTGTTTTATTTAGGATTTCACAGCAGAAATTGATGAAATGTCATCGCTCGTTGTTGTCATTCACTTCATTGGGAAAGACACGGTGTCTGCTCAGGTGGATGCAAAGTGCATAGTGTTTGTGTAACATCAGGACTGCATTTGTCACAGTGAGTTGTTCAGGTAAAGACGAGCGTCGCTGAAATCGTGGTGTGACTCAGACTTTTCAGCCCCGACGGTCCACGGTGTGCTGGCAGCTGTTCATGCAGCTGTATCTCTGGAGTTTGCACCGGCAGGTCCCACAAGTTCGCTCCACTGCCTCCGATGAAAACATAGAAACCTCAGTTTGAGCTCGAGAGATGCAGCTGCATGCTCAGGTGGATTTTTAGGAACTTAACAAACCGTGGAACCCAACGTCTAAATACAAAACCTGAACAGACTGAAGTGCTTTGAATATCTTTGTTCATTTTCAGTTTTTCTTAAGGATACATGATTTTACATTTTTAGTGTCATCTGACATTTTGCCTGAATGCCGATAACAGAATAATTATTGTCTTTTCCCCCCGATTTGCAGAGAACACCCCTCCTGTAGTGAGATTATTATTATGCAGATATGGAATACACTGCTTTTTAAATGGACGCATTCGCTGGTGAAAATAAGACAACTGCTTAAACTTACATCTTAAGTATGCCATATTTATTTTTATTTAACATTTCAAAACCGTTATACTTCATTCTCCACAACATTGAGTGTTAGTCGACATCATCTCATCCGGGTCGTCCATCTGAAACAGTTTCTGCTCGACTATCTCTGATTTGCATGAAACTTTTCTAACATAAATTCTGGATGCCTAAAATACTGTCTGAGAAATTTAAAATTTAATATGTAAAATACTTTGCAGGATAATTTAACAATTTTTGTTGGGACTTTTTGTGGCAGCTTAAATTGTCTTTTCAAATTTTTACTCACCCATAATCAGAGACTATTTGATCTACTTGTTAAATCCTGAATCAATGATGTGATGAGAAACAAAGAAAATCACAGTTTTTTTTTTTTTGTTGTTTTAAATAATTCCTCAGATATTGTAATTCAGACATCCTCAAATGAACCAAAAGGGCTTCTAAAAGTGGGTTTACAGGCAATTTAATAAAAATATCCTTGGAAATGATTTGATATATCGATTAAAAATTTCACAGATACTATTTTAAATATCAAAGTTGCAGGAACTATGCCTCTGATAATCTGAAATCGACTAACCCACCTGCAAATCACTGTTAATTTTGGGCTGATGCCATCTTCTTTATTTAGATTCTGTATCACTAAATGGGCGAGGCAAAAAATTGTGCCTCGAGCTTTACCCGAAGTGCCCAAAAAAAACGATAGAAATAACCTGCAACATGTCCAGATATTTCATAATATTGCTAGAATTTAAAGGAGGATCTGGCAGATATTTAATCTCCAGCTGTAAAGTGGAGCTCAGGTCTTATGTATGTGGATGAGGAGCTGCAGCGTTTGCTGGTTATCGCCTGTCACATCAGCCGCCTTCTGTTGGAGCGCCTTCTGCTGAGCCTACACCCACCAGCCGATGGTCGTACCAACCTTCACCTGTGGTCTCCAGCTTCGTGTAACGACTGACAGAATGAGGCTGCAGCCTGCATCTGCATTATAATGTTAAGAGGTCAATGGTGCTCATTTAGAGGAGCCAGTCAAGGGTGGGATGCCGCTGAGTGTTTCCCTTTAGAAGTGTTGCAGGCAGAGCCGATGAACGACTGGGGACACGTTGAAGCTCCGTAAAACAGCTGCACAAGCTCTGACAAATGTAAACTCCAACAAAATACAGGCATTGATCAAACCTCTAGAGTAGTACAATGCACTGGTGTAATTCTGGTGGCTCAAAAACAAAACAGAATTTAGCATTTCCTCGTCTTTGTATTTGTGACCAGGTGAGCGAGCGGCAGACTGGCCCTGTGGTATGGAGCCTCCGGCCAGGACTTGTCCAAACGGGACCTTGTGCCAAGAATACTGGACCGGACCCAACTTTGGTATCACCAACTTCGACAACATCCTGTTTGCGGTGCTGACAGTGTTCCAGTGCATCACCATGGAGGGCTGGGTGGACATCCTCTACAGCGTGAGTCTATACACACCCACAACTCATTATATGTTGTGGGCCTGAATTCATTCAGTCTGTCTGTTTGTCTTCCTCTAATGTCTTTGCTCAGTTATTATTGGTTGGGGCTTTACGGTGACTATGACCCAGGATTGAGTGCTAACCAAAAGGATGTAGACGAAGCTGGGTTTTTGCATTGACAAAACAAAGCAACACAACAGTGACATTTACAGAAACCCCTCAGTTGTTACTGACAAAGATGGAAAAGACTTCATAGCGACAAATATGCAAAGTAATGATAAAAAACGCGAACAGATCTCTAGGTTGAGGCGACACTTGCTCCATATATACACTTCTTTCTCCACATATTTTGCAAGAGACTATGGAGAACTGTGTGAAATGTGTATTTACTGCCTGAGTATCACTAATCCTTATGGATGTAATTGTAATTTCCACATTATTAGCAACAAGTATGCATCTTTTGATCATTACTACACAGGAAAATAACATGCTCTCCAGATGACACAACGCTTAACAACACAGTCTAATCAAGACTGTCATTATGATTAGTGGCGAAAGTGTCATGAAATTTGGTTCACCCTTATTCATGGTCTCGAGAGGATGACTTCTGATCATAATGGTGAGTTCTTGCGTTTATCCCAGCCCCTCAACCAGCACTTTGGCATATGACAAGCTGTCTTGAAAAATATTGACCAAATAATAATGATATTTACTGGTGATGATAATGATCCTCAGAGGATAAACCCTAATCCCACTGCCATGTCACTGCAGCGTACTTACTCTTACTGTGACAAATCTGTGTTTAGCATCACAACGTGTATGAAGCATTTTGCTTTGAAATTTGCTGTTAAGTCCATTTATTTGCATTGTAACTGTTGATTTTCATGACTCAATGGCGTTTCCTCAAGAGAACCTTTGCAGTGTTCGCCTACTGCTGGAGGTGAAAGTTAGACAAGCAGAATCATGTCACTTCTGCCTTTGATCATTTTCACATGTTAAGTGAATATTTTGGCTCCTGGGAACCATTAGCAGAGCTGTACATTCTTTAAAACATGAATAATTCATTCAGAAGACGATGTATTTTAGCATACGTGCACTTTTTTTCCCCCAACACCAATGTGCTTAACATTCATATGGAGACGCACATCGACACCTGGGAGCTGCCAACCACAGAAGTGTTACTCACTGAGGGGCTTCCCTGGAGCATTTGGAGGAGTTTTTTTTGTTAAAGCTAAAAGGCATGGTAACAGTAGTAGCTGGTAATGGAGTGGAGAGTGATATTTACATTTATTTTACCCTGGTTTTTCATACTGGTTCATAGATTTGAACATCCACCACTCGTAAATCTGTAGAGTATCTCACCTTCGCCTGTCTATGTGTGTCCTGAAAGCCAGAAACAGTGAACAGGTGAACAGGGAACAAGTGTCAGTGTTCAGAGTTCTGCATGGATTGTAGCGTAGCAGCAGTGGCTCAGTGGGAACACTGTACCTGTCCAGTGTTAGCGTCCGTATGCAGGCAAACAATATGAATAAGAGAATATGTTTGTATATCAACCAAAAATGGCAAAAAAAAAATCCATCTCAAGAAGTTAGTGACCATATAAAATATATAACACAAGCGCACAAACAAAAAAAACCCGCAAAATAATACAATATATGTGGTACTTAACCAACGTATTTAACAGTAACACAGGTCATGAAAAACTGCATGAAAAGGTCGGAGATTTTAAATTTGGGTGTCATGCGAGTGTAAAAGCAGTTATTTATCAGTTAAAAAGGGAACTACCAAGTGGGAATTAGTACAGGAATAAAAGTAGAGGCCCTAAGATGAAGCCTTGTGGTACTCCAAAGGTGACGACATGATGATAAGAGATGGAGTTGTTGTAGATAGCAGGTTGTGTTCTGCCAAGCAAGTACACAAATATGAATGATTACCTTCCTCAACATGGAAAGAAACTGGTATTGAAATAGTAACTTCAATATTGTGAATGGATGTGGACGCAAAGACACAAAGGTTTTTGGTGGCTAGGATTGCCTTAAAAACACTTGCGTTCCAGTTAAAAATGTAGTAATTGTAGTGAAAAATGTACCATAATGGAAAAGCTTATGATACCACTACATGAACATACAGAAACAAGACAATTAAACACAATAAAAAGGCAAAACAACAGCAACAAAGAAACTTCTGTTTGTACAGAAGAACTATGAGAGTCTATTTTCATAAAAAGCAGGAGGCACATTATTTTGCATATTTTTATTATGCTGTACCAAAGATGCTCTGGAATTTAACTGGAAATGGAAAGAGCTAGATAGACATGAAATATGGGAGAATGAGCAGAGGAGAGGAACGCAGTAAAGGATCAGCCAGGAATCAAACCGAGGACGCACTGCTGGACGGCTTTTGTGCTCATGCGTAATGTACCCTCACTAGTTGGCTGTCAGGTCGCCCTGGAATCCACTTTGTTCGCCTGTTTCCTGTTCATTCTCCTACATATGTTCCAGTACGGACCAAGTTCTAGTATCACATCATGTAATGGTGGTTGAGCCACAATTTTGCTCTTGCAAAGACCAACAGAAGTCTACATTTGAAGGTGCTGGTGTAAGTCAGGAGACTTTTAGCCAGTAGACTTGAGTCTGGTCCTGTGTTGCACCATAATTCCAAGATTATTGCGTGACTTAAGCCTTGTTTCGACTTTCGTTTTCACTCATTTTTCACTCGCTGTTTTCTTGTGTTTACAGTTGGGCTCATGTTAAATTTAGACACCAAAAGTACTTGGTTAGGTTTTGAAAGGGTTGGTTTGGGTTAACGTACATGTTGTCGCTACATTGGCCATATCATGTGTGATGATAACGGTGAATTAATGGGCTGATGACTTGGATGGTTTGTTTTGGTGCACTCAGGTGGATTTTCTTACACTTTCTCTTATTCTTGTTTATTTACTAAAAAAACAGAAATGCTAACTTTTCTTTGGTGTTTGTTGTAGTTTTCTTTGTTGTGACAAAACAACACATTGGTCAGAATTAACGGCACAAGCAGAACTCCCTTTTATATTTCTATTTTTCAGACCGTCCATAAGAGAATGAGTGGAAACATGTTGAGGGAGGAGAACTGAATGTCCTGTAACTTTCTGTGGTTGGGCTCAAAGCAGAGCTTGTGTCTTTGACAACTAGGTCACTGGGTTAACCCCTCCAGCAGTACACAGCTTTAGTACGTCTTCTCTCCGTTACCAACCCAAACAGTTTTATTATCTAAACATCAGTACCTCTCTGGTTTATTCAGTGAAGTCAAAAGCATGATATCGCCTCTTAAAAACCACTCGATCCCAGAAGTCAAACAGAAAAAGGAGATTCCCTAAAGGATGAGGGCTGTCCAGCCAAGCAGAACTGAAGAATGGAAGAGTGACTGGGCCGATCCCACAATGACTGTCTGACCCAGAACTTCACTCTTTTATTATTTTTTTAAATAAAATTAAAAACATAAGCATCATATATTGGACTGACAAATGAAGAAATACAACACAAAATTTCATATAAAGACCAAAAAATATGAAAGGTTTGGGAGGTTGAGAAGTTTCTTTCGGGTTAGGGACAACTTGTGGACTAGTGATGTACAATCTCTATTCTGGATATTTAATCATTTTCTTTATCCTTCAAAGCAGGTTACAGTGTAATATTCATCACACTCAGCACAAGTTGTAGCTTAAGTGTAAGGAACGATGGTGTGATGATGTTTGTCACAGCATTAAGTATGAAATATGATCAGGTTCGTACTTTATGTGGATTTAAGAAAACATTTTGTGCTCTCAGTTATGTGCTGGTACACTACCACTGGCTTTAGAAACACATAGGAGGTCAATATAATGGTTTAATCTTTATATTTTATGGTGAAATAACCATCACTGTTCAGATGTGTTGGTAGAGCAGACCAACTTGTTTTTGCATGCAGTTAATTAAAGAGCCCTTTCAGTGAAATCAAGTTTTTTTTTTACCTTGTCAACATGTTCGTATCTTTTATATGCTGGGAGACACTTAATAGGCAAACTGAGCTGTCGACACCACGGCCAAGCATTTCCACCTTGTCATCAGGCTCAGAAACACAAATTCAGACGTCACACATAACAAACCTAGAGAACCCGTCTTGCCAGCGAGCAGTGTGCAGCTTTCTGCATCATTAGATCAGAATCAGTTTCTGATTGGACTCTGCATGACTGAATTACTGTAATTAATTATAATAATATTAAAACTAGTAGTTTTACAGTGTGTGAGCAGTGGAGGGACATAGATCTGCACATTATAGAGGAGGCATCTGAGCCCATTTAGGAACAGAAGGGATCTTAGAAAAATACTTTTAAATGTGTAGCTGTAAGACACAGACATGACTGGAGAGGGACTTTAATGCACCAAAAGAATAAAACACGACCGGGCACTTTGATGCTCCGCTGGACACCTTTAACGTTTGACAGCTGAAATCAACTGGTGCTTTTAAAAATACGTTAATATTCTGCCTTCATGCTACACGTGCAGGACAAGTTAAAGCTTCGATGGAGACCTGCTTTACACTCATGGAATTTGCAACTTCAGTGCTCATTATAGAAAAAGTTCTTGGAGTGTTAATGAACCTTTCTCTGAGAACACGAAGGCCTGAAAAGAAGCGATGACTTGATGACTGAATATTTACTTTGAGCAGCTCAATCTGGGAAAAGCTATTAAAGTTTCACTCAGAAATATCCTTAGAATATATCCAGTTCTTAGTGCATTAGGAGGTAATAAAGAAAGAGACGGAGCAGGTGGAGGTCGAGTTAGCGCTGATGTGGATGTTAATGATGAAGAAAATGCAGCCACACGCACATTAAAGGCCTTAATAAAACAGAAAAGTCGCGATCGTCTGTCCGCTATTCATTTGCGTTTTACTAATGAGATGCTGCGTTCATTGACAGCATCCTTATTGCTTAATTTTTATTTCTAATTATCATTTTTTAAAACGCTATACCATCCTGTGTT